GCCAGTGGCTGGGCATTGGTGGCGCATGCCTTTAATCCCAGCACTCGGGAGGCAGAGGCAGGCGGATCTCTGTGAGTTTGAGGCCGGCCTGATCTCCAGAGCGAGTGCCAGGATAAGCTCCAAAGCTACACAGAGAAACCCTGTCTCGAAAAACCAATAAATAAATAAATAAATAAATAAATAAATAAATAAATAAGAAATGATTTGACCAGGCCTAGGGATGTGGCTTAGTTGGTAAAGTGATTGTCATGCAAGTCTAAAGGCCAGAGTTTTGGTAGGTATGGTAGCCTGCTTTCAGTCCCAGGGCAATTGCAAAAATTACCAGAGCAAGCTGGCCAGTCAGACTAGCCCAAATGGTAATCTCTATGTCCAGCAAGAGAGCCTACCTCAAATATATAAGATGGGAGTAAGGTAGGAAGATACCCATCAATCTTGGTCCTCCACATGTATGTGCACATGTGCATGTACAACAAATACACACGTGTACACACACACACACACACACACACACACACACACACACACACACACACAAACACAATGCAAAAACAAAATGAAATGATTGGGCCAGGATATAGGATATATTATTTCACATTTACTTTGTAAGGGAAGTGGTCAGGAGAGATAATAAGTTGATAAGAAAAACATATAGGATGCCTATCTATGTATGTGCCAAATCTCAGATGAGTAGAAACTTTTCAGGAAGGTATAGGGGAGGTGGGAGCTTTGGAAAATAAGGAAATAAGATCTTACCTATAGTCATCAGTAATGGAAATGATCAACATTCTTAGCAAAATTACTCATTGTAACAAAATTTTATGTTTTTCAGGTTGTGTCATTTGTAAAGAAGAATGTTCTAGTGACTGGAGGATTTTTTGGAGGCTTTTTACTTGGCATGGCATCCTAAAAAAATACAACTTTACTTCATTGTTTCTTTTTTTCTTGCCAGCAGCTTCAACACTCAAACATAAAACAATTGACACTCCTCTTCCTCCTCTTCTCCTGTGCCTTCTTCCCTGTTATGGCAAATCTGAATGGCTTCCATAGGCCTTCTATGAGCTTGACATGTTGGAAAAGACCATAGATGTTAACTCTCCTAGTATAATCCTCACTACTTTGTCAATGAATAACTTAGTAAGAATGTTCCCTTTTCCTTATGTAAGATCCTTTTCCAAACTTCATTTGGAAAAGCAGCATGTAGTTACCTTAGTATGTATTACATGGAACGGAACCGAATACATTTGCCTTTAAGCATGAATGATTTTGGTTTCTTGGTGTATTCTTTCTTTTTTAGTTGATTTTAGATTATAGAAATGATTTTAGATTACAGAAAGAGAGCTCATCCTCTCTGAAGAGTGGATGGGGGGTGTTTTGGGAGATTGGTTGGGGGAATGGGAGGGAGAGGGAACTGGGATTGGTATGTAAAATAGATTGTTATTAATTTAAATAAAATTAATTTAAAAAGAGAGGTATTTATACTTGTAATTATCCTGCCAAAATGACAGGATAAGTACTATAACAAAAAAGATTGAATATGA